ACGTAGCGAAAAAGGACGCGGGGAAAGCTGGCGAGCTGAAAAAGGCGTAAAAGCGCTGTAAAGTTTGACCGCCTCGTTTTGCGCGTGATTGTCGCGTCTGATGGATCAGAAAGCGCCCAAATGCTCGTTGATCTTTTCATTTATCGGCCAACAAACCTGCGCGCAATTGACGGAAGGAGAAAGAAAAAGAATGCGCACTTTGCGAGCGCGAAACTAACTTGATTATTCGCGTCGACGACCGCGAAACAAACCGCAACGCACGTGTACCGGCAACGACACAAGGGCGTGATTTATAAAGAGGTGCGCCCGGGGTAACAAGGTCGTAGTGTATGGTACTTCAGCACAAGCGCGCGCTCCGAATACGCAATAAGCGCGGCACAGAGCCAACACCGATGACAGGCTTTGTCTGTCTGCCTCTCTCTCCCCCTCTCTCTCTCTCTCTTAATTCATCCTCTTCGGCGGCTTCCCTTTGTCCCGCTCTCCCCCGTGTGTGACTTCGCGCAGGGATGGAGGGCGAGCGTTGTTAATCAAGCCAGAGAGCGAGAAATGCAGCGTCAATCTGTTTATCAAAGCGACCCAATTATTGCCGTTAATTACAGCCCGCGCTGCGGCGCGTGTCGCATAACCGTACTTATGATTTCATTGCAGCAACTCCATTCAATTAGCAACCGATTCTTTCTGATTATCCGAGCAGCAGCCGCGACCCCATTCAAGGCTGTCAGCCCGCGCTTCGCCTCGTTTCTCGCGGAAAACTCAATCGTCTCGCGCGTACGTCAATATCGCCCGCAAAGTTTCGTGCCACTTGCTCCTATCGTGCCTTGGCAGTCTCGCTTCGCGACAGGCCAAGTATCGTTACGCTGAACTCATAATGGGCAATGGGGCGCGAGTTGCCGAGATACAATGCGTTATCGCTGACCCATTAATCGCTGCTGCCATGGCTGGCCCGCGCGGAAAACGCGGCCGATCGTTTATCACGCCGACGATTCTTGCGACGCGCGCACAAAGTTAAGCACGGCCCTCTGCCTGTCGACTCGCCGTTGCTAACGAGGGAAGTGGAGGGGCAGGGGGAGGAGAAATTTGATAATGGAGAGCAGAGTATTTCGCGATGGCTGTGGGTTTACGCTGATGTTCCTGGCAATTATTATATACTGTGAATTTTTCCGGACACTGGGATGTCTGCGTAATGGATGTCATTTTTGCGCTTGTCATTCGATATTTAGATTTATTAACGCAGTGGTGCGCGCCTGCTGCTCCGGTTTCAAACAAAAGATTATCACTGAAAATTGCGTAGAGCTGAGATTTAACTAGAGTGCTTTGGCGCTAATATAGGCAAACAAATACATTCGGATTGGAATGGCGCTTTAACGAACAGTATTCACTGACAAATGAACATCAAAGAGAAAATTCAGTGACATTGCTACGATGGCCACGTATATAGTATAAACCTGAAACTCGATATTATTACAAGAGTATATCGTGCATTTACAAAGTGACATTAAACGTTAAATAAAATATATTCAGAAAAAGTCCTTTTCTCGTTCTCGACGTATAAAAACTCATGAAGTAAAGTCGTTGCCTCGGCACTCATAAATTCAATCGAAACGATGGGCCAGTCACGTCTTTTCCTTGTTACACAAGATTGCAGGATGACATCGGAGGGGAAAAAAGAGCACGAGGAGCAAATTACCGTATGAAACACAAGAAGAGCATTTCCAGGGTAATTTCCTGATATATCACTTCATAAAAGGTTTGCCCTCTTGGTTCAGCACGGCGAGTTACATGCCACTTTCACGCTTGCCGGACGGTGATGGCAGAAAAATTACCTTCTCTCTCGGGTTCAACTTGCTGTGACTCGTCTTCCCTTGTTACCACGTAAATTATATTCTTAGAGATGCCCCATTTTCAGCAAGTCTCGCTTAATATACCTTTACGTTAATATATATATATAAGTTATTAGTTAAAATATAAGAAATCTCGACCGGGAGTCACATTACGAACTATTAATTATTATTGGATTTATTATTTCTATTTGTTCGAATCTTAAAAGTTAGCACTCTGAATTAATTTTTTTTTAATAATCGATAAATTTATTATACCTTTAGATAATTCACCGAATAAGCAACAAATTTCGTTATAGTTATATCAAAACTAGCATCTTGAAAATAGTAAAATAAGTTTGAGGTGTAGGCTCGAGCATCCAAGTTAGAATCAGGATAAAAAAATTATAAAATATAATTTTGAAAAAATTATTAATAGGTCAATTGTTAGTTGATCTCATGAACTAACGGTTCTCAAAATAAAACCACTGGTAGATTCATAATTTTACAAATAAAAATAAAAAACCATTTTGACCTATACTTTAAAGCTCATGAATAATAGCCTAAGTGCTGCGCGCATGTGGATTGGGAACACATTGCAAGAACCATAGCTGTTAGCTAAGCTGGCCCTCGATAAAATAATCGAGGTCCAGCTTGGCTTGACCGTGCTTGCCCAACTGCTTACAGCAGCAGTGACTTTTGTGGTACGCGCAGCGCTTAGGCTATTAGCCGTGAGCTTTAAAGTATTGGTCAAAATGGTTTTTCATTTTTATTTGTAAAATAAAGAATCTACCAACGGTTTTATTTTGAGAGCCGTTAGTTCATGAGATTAACTAACAATTGGCCTATTAATAATTTTACCAAAATTGTGTTTTATAATTTTTAATCCCGATTCAAACTTGGATGCTCGAGCCTAACATCTAAAACTTATTTTACTATTTTCAAGATACTAGTTTTGATATAATTATAACGAAAGTTGTTGCTTATTCGATGAATTATCTAATAACATAAATAGTTTATCGGTTATTATATAAAAACTAATTCCTTGTGCTAACTTTTAAGATCCGAACAAATTGGAATAATAAATCCAATGATAACTAGTACCTCATAATGTTTAAAAATGACAAAATATGGTAGAATGAATTATCATGATCATGAAACGAGGTTTCATCGAAATTACGTATTTACGCCAATGTCCAAAGTAATAACGAAATTTAAACGTAGCTAATTAATAATAGATGAGACTGAAAGAGCCGTCGGCCATAACAATGGGGTATTGCAGTTAACTGGATGCAAGCCTATTGAGCTTACACGTCGATAAAAACACGATCCATCTCAAAAGCGTTATCTCGAGTTGGCACATTGTGAGGCCTGCTAAGTCCTTGTAAATCCTTTGTCGTAGCCGGCAATAGCTGCACAGCTCGGGAATAATTAATGTAAATGGGAAACTCAAGAGAGACGCTAATCCGCCTTAGCTTCTTTGCGGCTGCGAATCGCGCGAAACTCCTACCGAGCTGAGGAACTGAATCTCGATTACGTGATAACTGATACATCGCTCCACTCGCGGTAATTTGATTCCGAGTTAGCTTCGAATTGTTCGCGCTATGCACCACCGCCGCGTGCTGTTGGAGGATCTTCGCCGTTTGTCACGATAATTATTTTGAAACTGCTGCTGCGTCTGCTCTAGCCAAGTCGGAACAATAGACGTAATTCTTTCATTGCGTGGATTATACTGTATTTTACATTAATGTTTTTACTCTGGAATACTCTGGAGAATAATTTGCAACCAGAGTAATTTAAGATTGAAACGTTGTGTGCTCTCGAATTGAAAAAAAGAAATTGATAATAAGCACAAGTAAAATGAAAAGTGGGAAAGCTGCGTAGGAGAGAGAGAGAGAGAGAGAGAGAGAGAGAGAAAGAGAGAAAGAGAGAAGGGCCGATATACCAGGAGCGGCATGCGCCGTCTAGTTACGAGTCTTGCTACTTTTCACATCTTTTATATTCGTGTCACTGTACGAAAACTCATCTCAGTTGACGGCAGATTCGAAGCGAAGCCCTTGTCCCAATTGCGACCCCCTGTCGCTGTATACCTGTATACCTACCTGAAGATACATGTTGGACGGTATAGGAGAATCGAGTAGTTGCGTTTTATACGTGGTATATTTGCATTTAGAGTGCAAATATACATTTTTCGATCGTTTACCTTTATTCATGACGCTCGCACTGATTTAATTGCTGCCATAAAATCGCGCAAGAGCACTGAGCGCGCTTCGAGAATAACGGATATATGTGTTTGAATAGAAGTGTTATACGCATAAAACTTTTATTGCCCGAAAGAGTAGTAAAATCATGATGTATTGTTCTGCGTGCCGATTGAAAAAGTATTGGTTTCGTTTATCGACCATCTCGGCTCTTCATTGGTTCCTTCGGTCGAGAACGCGCTCAGTTGGTCGCGCGCGGACACGTCCAAATGTTGCGGTCTCATTCAGCAGTAAATAAATAGGTTGCGACGGAGAAGGCAGAACATTTAGAGTAATGAGAATCAGTTATGTAGAAACTTTGGCAAACTGTGCGCACATTAGCGAAAGACAAGTCGACGGGTCTGAATGGCGCTTCTTATTGCAGTTTGCTTGGCCGTCAGAAGGGAAATGGGAGATCATTATTTAGCCAACGAACGTTGAAAGGCACTTTGCCGCGCGAGTTCGGTCCAGGGGATCCATAATTAACCTGATAACTCATGCAGGAGCTACGCGCCTCTTTATCATTCCGACGCTCGAACTCGTTATCTTCTCGTTACAGTAAAAACGATGCCCGGCCCGAAAAGCGACTACCTCGTTATCGAGCAAGTAATCAACGCCTCTCTTACGAATTGCTACATTTCTAGGTCTCTAATAACGCACGCTGCCTACGGCAATATCTAGATGTCCATTAAAGGTATTGTAGTAGATAGTGATACGGCATATACATGACTTTACAGTTAGAAAGAAAAATGGATGCTGATAATGCAAGCACTTAATATCAGAACGGTGTAGTGTGCAGTCTGCCAAAGAGCCTCTTGATTGATGGAAGAACGGTATGGAGCCGATGCTGGTTGGAAAATACCAATGCTTGATGGAGTAATTTCTATTTGGTGAAATCAATCCAAGTCATTGTTAAGGTTCGCAAGAATTCTCATAGCTTAGATAGTTTATTATTGTAATTTTATTTGTTATAATTTGTTTACATCTTGTATAATACAAACTCTTCCACTGGCGTAAACTTGCAGAGACAAAACAACCTGATGAAGAAGTTACTGTCTAATAAACATCAATCCGTTTTCTTTTCTAGCTGATGTAAACGTATTACGCAACAAAATAATGTACAATTGGCACTACTATACATAATAGTATATAACATTGTCATAAAATTTGCCATCGATAGATTCAACAGAAACAAATAAAAGCAGCAGAAACATGCGTCCGTATGACGTTAAAAAATGATTAACATTGAATTAACTCGCGAGGAGTAAAAATTGGACAACTTCACGCTTGTTAAGTACAAAATTGAAAAAATTCTCATCGGAAAATGCGCGCGCTCTCCGCGAAGAAAGTACTCAAATTCCCCTCGCGGGCACACACAAAGGGAACAGTTTCCGTGAATTCTCGAGCTAAGTGCCGCTCCGCTATTTCGGCTCTTTCATAAAGTTACTCCCTATGCAATGGACAGGTGGCATGTGCGTGTGCACATGTACGCGTGTGTATTATGCGGTATAGGTTTTTACTAGCGCGCGAAGTACATCGAACGAAATGCAATTTCCCTTGGCATTTTCATATCGTTCGAATCGCGATGCTTTTACCGCGCCGAGCCACTCGCTCGCGCCAAGTTCGGGCCGAAACAGGGGCGAGCGAAAACGACGTCGGATTCTCTCGATTTTTTTATGAAAAACTTGAGGCTGAATTCAGAGGACTGCGCGTGATAAAAACTTTCCATTCGCAATCGATTGTAAAAGGGTTGTCTGGCTGGTGTATAGAAGGTAAGTCTTCAAAAATTTTCATTGGCAAAATGTAATCCACTACGTATTTGTTATCGTTTTGTACATTGATTCATAAAAATTCTGTTTAATAAATGCTCGATAAAAATTGCTATTCAACTAATCAGTGCAAACTTCTTGATTGCGGTGAAAATTGGATGTTGATAAAATGCTTAAGAAAATCGGTTAAAACGGATTTTTTTATCAAGTGCTGATTACGACTAATCATTTGAATTTCTTGTTTCCCAAAAATGTTTTGATATTTTAATATAGTGAGTCATATATAATATCCATACAATATAATTTTTAGTTTATACACAGTACTTTTTTTACATGATATTTAGATAGTTGCTTGGGGCGTGAAGGTGTAAATGGTGAAGTATGTATTTGATAGGCAACGCAAATTTTTCTTTCACATATACACATCTTCTTAATTGACCAATACGATGCATCAAATCTATCTAAAACATTTTTTTTCATAGTTTTCGTTCAATTCACCTAGCTTATAACGAGTGACTCTCTATGTGTAATAGAAACTTTTCTATACAAATTTTTTCTTAATAGTATCCTTAATTAATCTGCAGACAAAGAGAAGGTCACTGAACCACGTTTACAATTCCAAATATGTCTTCTATCAGTTGACACATTTACATTATCACTCATGTTCAGTCTCTTACTTAAACCACTTTTTTCTCTCATAAATAAGCATCAAATAAATATATTTTTATAACTGATCACACACGTTGCTTGTATTTATCGACTATTTAAAAAATAAACTTGATGTAACACAGTGGAAAAATAAATAACAATAATATAAATTCATCCAACATGTCGATCAAAATTCTATCACACGGTAAATCGACTAGATAACCATTCGGCAATATGTACACTAGCACTCAGTAGTATTTACAAACGGTCGGAGGGAGAGGTGCAGCGATCATGTCCGCTGCTTGAGAGTCCTCACTGGTACCGGTTTAGTCCTCTTATCCTTCTTCGACGCGGGCTTTTTCTTTTTAGTAGTTGAACTCTTGATACTACTGATTGACTGGCCTTCGATATCCTCGCGGAAGGCCAGAAAGCCAAGTTGAGCATGTGACGCTTCGTTTAGTGCTCGAGAACGGATACAAGCGCGGTATTGGTCGGTCGAGAGACGTTGTCCTGGACCACCTGAGCATACCTGCGAACAAATTCAAAAGAACGATATTTTATAGCTTACTTTAACATTTGTTAGCCGTAATGAGACAATTCAAAATTATTTAATTAATTTCAAATAGCGCGGTCGTGAATGAAACAGAGTTCCGAATTTCGCATCTTTTTCTTACAGTATCTATTATCTTTAATGAGATTTTAATAAACCGCTTTGGTGAGAATATAATCAAAAATTAAATAGTATAAAAATCGCTAATTGATAATTTAAATCGTTAGTTTATGCATCTCAATAAGTGGATTTATGTGGATTAAAAGTTGCAGAAACGGAAAAAAAAATTCATTAGAGCACCAGTGTTAGCCGTTGAAATTACGTAGGTAAATTTTGGCGTAAAAGTTCATAGGAGGTAACGCCATCCATTCATCCAATTTGCCTAAAATTACACGTATCCGCTCTTCACTCATGCAACTTTCATTCGCTCTAAAACTGGAAATCCCTTGCCGTAATTCCCTCAGTGGGAGAGACCAGATAGTCCCTGGCCTCAGTCAAGTGTATATCGTAATTAAATGCATTATTAATGAGTACACGCAGTTGAAAAAGGCTTAGAAAAACAAACGGCAATTGGAAAAACGATAGTGTAGCTTACTCTACATGTCCGTAATATTTGCCAACATCCCTTGCGATTAGAGCATTTCTACGCGCGGTCAGGATCACCCGGAGAGACTGACCCCCCTCTCTCGCATACTATAGCTTTTTCAGCACTACAAATAGAGCGTTTTGGTACTTCATTAGCTCAAAGACGTTTTGCGGAAAATCGACACACGCAATTTCATAAGTGAAATGGCCTAGATGAAATCTTCAATTTGTATGAACCGTAATTTGCTTTTATAGAACCGTAACTAAAGCTTTTTCTTGACAAGTATTCGGTTTTAAAAAATCGATAACTTAAATAATCGTGCCAATATACAATGATGAATGAATGTAGTTCTCGCGAAATCACCACTTAAATGCCACATGGCAAACTAGCCAAACAATCGCCGGCAAATTTGCATAAGTCCTTGAAGTTTCAAGAAGCCATCGAAAGGAAGAACGAAGATGTTTCCCGAAGGATTCTGGGAGAGTATCGTCGTCAGCCATATCAGATGTCTATTAATAACCTGAGCAAAGCAGGTATAAGTCTGGAATTTCCTTTCGGTGCCCCGCGGCGTCTCGGCTTGATTCGACTAGCGAGATATTTCGCAAATTCAAAGATTCGTAAGCCCACTGCACTCGAGGATCCTGTAGCGCCTTGAGCATCTCCGTTTCATTCTCGAACAACGATCTCGAATGTCGAATGTAGAAGCAGATTGTTATGTCTGGTATAGGGTGCGTCTTTGGGGGAAAATCAGCTTTGCCGCGCTACAGGCATTTTCAGCATTTAATTAGAAGCCAAAGTTCGCAACCGATACGCTTGCTTTGAATATTTTCGCTGCAATTTGGAAATATTTCGAATTATGAGAATATATTCACTGAAATGCATTAATTGCGCTTGCGCGCTTTCACGCGAAAAAAGTTGTATTAAGTAGTAAAAACAGCATATAGTCAGTCGAAACTCATTTGCCCGTGTAAATTGTTATGCTGGCTTTGTAATTAGACGTGTTACGTTTTATTAAACTCGATTAAAGGAAACGATCTTAGGGCTGAAAAAATAGTCTGCAACGCACATTGCTTTGATGCTCGACACTATGAATCTTCGATACGATCGGGCTGGTACGACAAAGTTGAAAGTACTATTCTCGCCAATGCGAGTTTTCCATACAACGATGTTCTCGCCGCGAGCGCACTAGCTAGATTCAATCGGCGATCGGCTTATTAGCGCGTTGAACTTTCGATTAATAGCATTACACTTGGAAATAGCCCTTAAGCTATTGTCGGACTTTAGCGATGAATTAGCATTTGATTTTATTAGGTTTGGCAGATGGTCTAGTTTCTAATTTGGTCGATTAATCGGCTTGTCCAAAGTGAAAGCGTTGCACAAGGTATAAGTTATCTATTTTATTCATAAAAATAGTCTCCTGATATTATATTCTTGCATTTAGGATAGTCGTACATTATTGAGTGTTATTACGATAATATATCTTGCATCACTGCGAAATGCATATTGATAATCAGTCTGAAAATTTTCATTGCAAATAACGTATCGAAGTTGCTCAAGTACGAAAATAGAAGATTCGAAAGAGAAACATTTTTCAGCCCATCAAAGCTACTTGTATTCCCAATAGATGAGTACAAGTCACTCGCGTGCGAGCGCTTTACAACAAATGACGTGTATCGAGAGAAATGTCAGTTGGTGCAGCTCAAAGCTCCGTGAAGAATTGTGTCACTCGCGTTAATTAAAATCTTTCTATAGACACAGCAGCGAGGATCTCATCGCAGCGGATGAAGAGCTGCAATGTCGAGAATACGAAATTGGATTGCCAAAGCGTTGGGCTTTTTTGTTCCGGATTTTTATTTGAAAAGTGAATTGTCATCGACAGTCGCTGCGCTTCAATATTGGATGGTGCATCGCGCTTCGGCAAATATTTTCCGGCTCCCGCGGTGTCATTTAACAAATTCGTTTCATTCCGAATGGATTTTTAAATTAAATTTCATCGTATTTACGGATGTAATGAAGTGCTTTTCGATTATTTCAGCGTTTATTATTAATACTGAATGATAACTGTAAAAAGCTTGAAATAGAATGATATAAATGTGTTTTGATGAAGCTATGAAAAAGGATTGTTATCAGTCATAATAGACGGAAGAATCAAATGAGTTAAAAATTAAGAATCTTAAACTTTAGATTAGAGCTGATGTGATTGGGACGAGTACAAGGTAAAAGTTCGAAATAATGTTATTGTTTATCTTGCAATTCAAATCGTAAACTTTTACGATGAAAATAATAACAAGATAAAATAGAAAAAAAAAAGAAACAATCCGAGATAAGCGGCTCATAAGCATCAGGAATTGAAGTATAAGGACAGCAGGAGAGTGCAGTTGGAGCAGCTTACGCGCGACAAAGTAGAAAAGAAAGAGAGCTAGCGCGCGTGCCAGAATGCCGTCGGACGGAAATAATAATAACACTAAACGTTAGTGATGCCGATTCTGGTGGAAATCTTGTGGCTCGTTTCGTCGGGGCGAGCGAGGGAGTAGCGGTCGTTTACCTTGGGATGCCAGATGTGGAAGATGCCAGGGTCGGTGGCGCGGATGACCTTGATGTTACTCTTGACGTACTTGCGGTAGAGGGTCACGTCTTCGCCACCCCAGCCAACGATGTTCTCGTCGAAGCCGCGTACCCTCAGAAAATCCGATCTGTCGTTGATGAAAATGAACGCAGATAATTATTTTCGAGCAGTGAAATTATTTTATGAAATCTGAAATCTGATGAAATTCGTAAAAAATCATCTACGCCGCAGTGATCGATATCGAGCAGCTAAAGCAAAGCATTCGAGGACGCGAAGGGTGGGAAACGGGTATAGTCACCTGTACTGGCAAGTCATGCCGTAGCCGAAATCGCGCCAGAAGCCGGTATCCCTAGAGATGACTAGCTGATCCGTTTCTGGGGGTACATTTCTACCCTGCAGCGTGTACACAACGTGCGGATTATAGAGGCTGAAGACGATGGGGTAATAGACTTTCCGCGCCGGGGCCGTGTTCCATCGACACCTGTGACGCAGAATAAACTTGTCATTTTTCGTAGCGCTCCAGGGTGAAACTCGATAACTCTCGAGCGTACGCCATCTACCATAGCGAGTTCGAGAGCGAAGCCACTTGCCTGTCGAGGAACCTCGCGCTGAAGACAACGTCGACGTCGCACATGAAAAGCAGCACGTCTTTCTCGCCACCCCAGGCCCGCTCGGCGCCGACCCTAAGACCCTTTCCCCGTGAGAAGGTCTCGTTGAGGGCGAGCAGCCGGAGATTTTGATTAGTTCCCCCGCTGCCTCGAGTCATCAACACCCTCGACATAATGGCACGCGCCTCGCTCAGGCCTTCGGTGCCGAAGTACACCACGGTCAGGTGCACGCGCCTGTCGTTCCTCAGGCCTATCTTCACGAACTTGTCCATGAAGCTTTGAAAGGTACTCGTCCGACCGGACAGTGGTAAGATTATGTGGATGAGCTCCTTGTGCTGGGGACGATGCTCCGTCATGACATATTGGATCGGAGCGAACGGTCTCATCAGCGTCACTTTCGTTTGGCTGGTCTGCTCAAACCAGACAAATGTTTTTCTCTGTTCAATGTAGCTGGCAATTCCTTGTCCCATCAATCGCGCTCAATTACCTGAGGCCCAGAGCTCTGCGAACTCGTCTGCGCACTACTCTTATTCAAATTTTTAGTCCTAAAAAACATCTCGTACTGCGTACCAGTGGTAGGCTCTACCCTGTACAATCCTTCGAGAAAGTCGTCCTCGTTGTATTTGGCGGTCGATGGTTGTAGGCCCGTCACGTTTCTATTGAGGACATCGAGGGCCTTGGCTAGTGCTTCAACGAAATCTTTGCGTTTGAAGCCGATCGGCTTCTCCACGACCCGCTTCCCTAGGCCCAGCTCCACTGGATACATCCTCGCTAGGGTGAAATGACTAAATGCTATCAGCTCGTACTCGTTGTTCAGCGAGAGGCCTTGACTTATCTCGGCTTGGTCCACCTGGCGTCGAGCAGCCAAACAGTCGCTGATCTCGCTGCTGTTAAGCATTGCTGAGTTGTCCAATCCATGACCAGGCGCTACACCTGCAACACAAAGCACGTTTCTTTTTATGAGTTCTGTAGTTAGACGGGGAATACGAATGATCGAAACTTTGGTCATGAGCGTTTGCCGAAACGACTGTCAAACAAAACTATTCGACTACACCCGCGACTCAAAGAAATCAGGGCAAAGAACTTCATGGATATCTCGATCAGCCTCACCCGGACAAGAGGTAATACCTGGAGTTAACCGAGAATCAGAGTGGTAGCAAACAATTTCAGCATATTCGTAACCTTCTCGTGTATGCCAAAGAAAAGTGAAGCCGAGGAAAAAAGAAAGATAAGTCTAAAGACGGAAGTTCTTTATAGTGAGGCTGTAAAATCGATGGCCCTTACGAGCCTGCGCGTCTTATATCGAGTCGGAAGCACAAAGAAAACTCGTCGCAATAAAAAAGCCATCCTGAGTGCGTATTTTTTTTTTTTCTTTACGACCGGTTCGCGCGTGTTTTTAGGTTTTGCATCGTAGTAGCTCATCATTTCTTTTGTTTCGCCTGCACGCGAGGCACTAAAACGCAGAGGAATCTCTCTTTTTCCTCTCCTGAGAGAGAGGGAGAGGGAGAGAGAGAGAGTAGAACGGTAAAAAGTTTCTGGCCGACATAAATTTTCCAACCGCTCTATATCGCGCCGCGTCTACACGTACGACTTATATACGACGCTCCGACGCTCGTATTCGATCTTTTAATGGCTACCCGAACTACTGTTTCCTGTCTTCTCTTTTTCGAACTTCCCCCGTCTAAATTAAATCTTTACATGTACACCTCTAATTCTCAATATCCGACAAGCTACCGTCAGACTGAGTTATTAAGCATTGGTTCATTTTTTGAATGTAACAAGTTTTATAGAGATTTTACTTAACGTTTTCAATTGTTTCTTTGATCAGACGCTAAACACCCGATAGAATAAAACCTTAATTTTTGTTTATTTAGGTTAAAAACTGCTGACTCTGTGGTATATTTTTTAGATTCAAAAATATCGATTTTACTTGACGCCTGGAAGCTTCTAAAACGTTAAAAATGTCCCTCTTTTTAAATAGTTCAAAAATCGGTTCATCTCTACAAAAAATCCATTCCATCCACCGCAATAACTTAGCAGAAAGCTAAGAGGAATTTTCCGAAAACCAAGTATTTTCGTCGTAAAACGATAGCAGAGCTGGATGTTGTTTCTCAACACTCTAATCCCGGTCGAAAGAATAAAAGTCGCCGGAGAAACAATCAGCCGAAGTGGAAACAGTCGCGCGAGAAGTTTCGCGCGCGCACTGGCTTGACTTTTATGGGCCGAGCAGCGTCGTCTTTACGTGTTCGTAGTTCTCTTAAATCCCCCTTCGGTCTAATCCACGGGACGCACGCACTTTTCACAGGTCCAACTTCGCGTGACTCCTCGTAAACGTTCATTTTCGTACGGCCGAGCAAACTTAAGGAGATTTTCGACTTTCAGGAACGTGTAAAACGAGCAAATAAAATAGGAAAATACTCGATTGTGCGATATTGCAGTAGACTACCCCTAAGATTAATACTGAGAGACTTACGCCTTTTTCTTGCTTTTGACGGTAGAGCTTAAGCTTGTTATTTCTTGTATCCCTAACGATGCTTTTCACTTGATTTTTCAAGGAGGATTTTTCATAACTATGTTAGTAACTTTTCCGACTTACAACTCATTAACTGGCTAACTTCGGAAGACCTTTTACATTTTTAAGACGTCAACTTCTTCATTTGAATATTTGTTTGATCCGTCTAATAAAACTAACTTGCTCTGAAGTAGGTGTACCGATGGGGACGAAAAAAAGAAAATATATAGCATTATCTGATCTTATTGCAATCCCAATAATAAGCAGCATGCACACTCAACAATTATTTCTTTTCTTTTCTTTTCTATATTGCGGCACACTTATATACCTTTACGGCTGTTAAAAAGGCAGCGCCGCTTTAAAATTTAACGACGAGACATTCACCCGTACGAGAAATTAAGCGCACGCTAGGAGGGAAAGAAAAAAGGAGAACATTTTTTTCTCTTCTTCTTTTTCTCCCCAGAGAGTCCTTTTCTTCTTTACGACGTGCTCGTTCGCTTTTTGTTTTTGTATTTTTTTTTGTTCATCGTTTTGTTTCAACATACGTAGAGAGAGCGACACAGAGAGAGAAGTCGTAACAATGGAACCCATTCGCGCCAATCCCTATTTAAAGAACCTTCGGAAACGACTTCCTTCGCCGTGGCTTCTCGATAAAGAAGATTAATGAAGGAGCTTTGCGTGGCTACAACTTATCGATTTTGTTCGAGCAGACGGTAGCGGCGGCGTCTCCGCGCTTAATTGCTCCTTTCGCGTTCCAAAGAAAAATGCCAAGCCATTTGTTCACGCGGAATTATGTGACCCTTGTGCTTTGCATTGTTTGATGGATGCCCTGGCAAATCGCTGTGGTGATTTGTTTGCGCCAGCTCGTCTATCTGATCGATTTCCTGATAGATGCGATTCATGCGATGTATAAATTTTAAAAGATTTATCATTCAAACACTGTATAGACTTGAATTTATTTACCAAAACTCTATTTTGTACTATCACATTTCAAGAAGGACGTTTTTCGCAATATCATCCATCGATTGGTGATTTTTTAGAGCTATTGTTCAAAGTGGTAACAGTAGTTTGAAATGGAGCAGGTTTTTCAAAATTATTATTTTTTTTAAATTTTGTGGTAAATTATATACAAATCGATGATCAATGCCTGTTTTTAACATCGTATTCTGTTGCCAAGGAAATTGCGTTGAAAGCGGAGAACTGTTGCGAGAGTTTTCATCAGCATTTTTTTTCCGGCACAGCATTCTGAAAAGTCGTAATACTCATGAGAGCTGGATACCGCGCGAACCATTTGCTTCACATTTCAAAGCGTTTGAAATAAAAAGCTCGCAACTGTACCTGAACAATCTTCCTTCGTTCCGATTTTGCCAGCAGCGTTTGCTAGCTGTAAAGAAAGGCTGATTTTAACGATGCGATTCGTGCCGTTATTCCAATAATGCCCCTCCAAACTAATCTCATTACTCGTCAGCTGCGAAGAAAATGAACAGTCGCCATAAAAGTAAGGATCGGCCATTGCAATAAAGCTCAATTACCCACTTAAAATCCCAAGTATGCGGAACGCAGTAGTAACACTCGCTAGTGGTCGGCCGCGCCTATCGATAGTCTAGTGCACGCATACAGAGCTTGGCCGCAAAACAGCGTAGCGCTTAATCGGGCACGACGCCACTGAATATTCATAGGACGTAATAAGCCAGTATCGAGGCGCAACATCCCTCGTGGCTGCCTCCTCCTCCTGCTCCTCGCTGTCGCTTAGTTCAAGAGCATGTCTTGCTCGCGCCCGAAGCTCCAGAAATCCACGTGCGCGCAAGCTATCGATGGCTTGAACGTGCATTACCTCCTTGGCGTATATCCTTTTCCTTTTGTTCTCAGGAGTGCTAGTCTCCTTTTCCGATTTTCATTCGAAGCGATTTAAAGTACATGATAGGCACCTGTTATATTAGGATTTACTTTTAAACGCATATACGAAGAACGCTATTTCGCGAAAATTGTGTGGGACCGTGTCTCGTTTATGAAGATAACTGTGGTATTTATGATTATTTGCAAAATTACGCGAAATGTATCCATTGTTCAAAGTCTGTTCAATCAACACAGTTTTTGTAAGCTTAATAATCAATATTTTTCCATGATTTTCTACGTGATTTTTAGATACACCAAACCATCAAGAATTTTTAATTGTTTGAAAAAACAAACGATTTCCGATAAACGATTGCATTGAAGAGTTGCCTGCTGAATTCAGCGAAGAAATCGATACGGTATTTTGCAACAAATCGTCTGAAAAAAAAATCAGGTGAAATCCCCAAATGCGCACAATGGCTACAAAATAAAAAAAATCTCATCTGGGGGTGAAAGTCTGCCGACCGCGCGTCACGCGAACAAAAATTCATAGCCAATTATTGAGCTTTATACAAAAAAATAATAACGACGCCGAGCGTCGAAAAAAAAAAAATCAGCCCTGACAATTTTGCGGTCGTTGTGCACAGAAGAAAAACAAAGCCATCGGCCAATGAAAGCGGCGGCGCTTAGCGTTGAAAAAATAGGTTATGCCGCGAATAAAAAAGAAGGAAAAAAATAGGGTGGGGGGGGGGGGGCAGAGAAAAATTGAAAATTGAGAGGACAAAGAGTGGGAGAGAGAAAAAGAAGCCGATGACTATCGGCAACACGGACTCCCCCCTCCCCCACGGGAATGGAATAATTGCTCCTCGTTAGAGCGCGAACGCGCGAAACCGGATGCCCATCCGCTCGGATCGTTAGGCCCGCGCCGCCACCGCGTTCTTCTCAATGCCACACTCTCGGTGTTTGCGTGTGTGCGTATATTAGAGACAATGAATGCGCGCTCTTGTCTGTTCGATACTGACAGCGCAGCTCCTGCTCTGTTTACTGCGTGTTTGTCTAATTAACGATTACCAATGGGATAGTACTCTCCCTCTACTATTTGCTATCAGTTGTTTACAAGAGCGAATACCCGTTACATCGTTATCTGTCTTTCTGGATTTTTTCAAAATTGCAATATTTCCTATTGTGTATCAATGCCAGAGGTTTGATTGATACGAAATGAAAAGAGATATGGTCAACGGTATAATTCCCGGCAATTCTTTTAAAAGCTTACACCTGGTATTCATAACGGACTGAGGGCTAACAAGCTTCAAAAAAAAATCGAACCGCTGTTAGTGCACTCTAAATCTTTTGAAATAGCAATCTATGGAAAGTCAAAAATTAATGGAGATTGTAGAGATAGGCATTTTTATTTGAACGTACTTCAAAAGGGATCTGAAAGAAAATTTTTGTCTTCATCATTTACTCGATCAATGTTAAGATCTCATATTCATAGGCATTAGAGCGATGCTTTTCATCCTGTGATCCCATTTTCCACTTCTCTGCCCAAAATCTTCCCGAGCCTCATTGTACACGTGTTCCTCTCCGCGACTTCGTCGAAGTGTAAGCTCCTTATGAAGACGTGCCATCCCATCTGATAGATATCGTTAACAGGTAAGAGAGGAAGCTATGCGTGTATATATTCCTACCTACTCTATGCTCTTAATTAATTATTTCATTAAGATGCGTCTTGTCGACAGAGGATCGAAAACTAATTTCCAAAATAATTTTGTTAAACTTGATATTTAATCAGGACGTTTCCGATGACTAATGAAGATTCTCCAATGATGGAGTTATTCATAGAATTACGTCACGTCATTTGGGATAATTATAAATTAAGTACATCCATTACGAACTACCAAACGCTTTCTTTTTTTTCAGAAAAAGAGTATAGAATACTTTCGTTTTTTTCCAGCCCTTGATGAGTTTAGCACTAAGAATCTCTTTGCCCGAGCATGAGTAAAAGACGTTAAGGAAGATAGATAGCCACCGTGAACGCACGTAAGAAAGAGAGAGAGAGAGCACCAGCATACACATATACAGAGTGTCTTCGTAATTACAGCTACTCACGGTTCTTCCTTCGTTTTCTTTTCTAGGTCGTTCTTTCGGTCCCCTCGTAGCTATGAAAATAGCCCGAAAACTTGCCGCGGAGCAAAAGCAAAAAGAAAGAAAAGCGCCACGAACGCGCAAAGCACGCTAAAGAGGAGACTTCCGCAGCCGCGCACACGCTTGAGCCATTATATCAGTAGATAAAGAGCTCGGCTGTGTTTTTGCGCAGACGAAAGGGACTCACATGAGGGATGGACGACGTTTTCCTCCTACGTTGCGGAACTTATTTTTCAGCTGATAAACCGTGCAGTCGCTTTCGGAACGCAAAAGCAGCAAGCGTTTGATAGCCGGTCTACCCAAACGCGCGTTTTCGATGAGGGAATAGTTGACGCATGAGCAGCAAAGTCACGCAGAGATATATATATATATATATATATATATATACCAACCTGTCAGCTGCAGTATCTGTAACTTGAGCGTGCGGATCTCAGCCGTAAGCCTCTCCACCTCCAGCCTCGTCTCCTCCTCACGCTGATTTGCTTCAAGGATATTACTACTTGCCTGTGTGGCTGGACCTGCACATACAAATTTGTCGCTTGTCAATTTGGAAAGCCGTATTTTCAATAGTTCTACCGATGGAAATAATATATTGTCGATGCAGTTGCATGAAAACTATGATAAGCGCACTGTTCGTATTGACATTTCATTTATTTTCGCAGGCTTTTATTCCACGTTGGAAAATAACGAATGTACGTTAGTTATTTTCAAACGAAGAGAGTGTTCACAGGAAGAATGCTAGAAGAATAGGAGGAGGGAGGGGGAAAAATAAATAACAAGCCTGAAAAATATCAGAGTGCGCCGCCACGTGTGCACGAGCCAAGATCCGACTAGCTGGGAGGCGCGAGTGCTCTGTTCGCTTTCCGCAGGGCAGAGCGCTGTCATGAGCTTGCAGGCAACAACACTCGATTTCAACTTTACGAGCTGCAAAACTCGCCGACCCAATTTTCACGGGCTCGCGTTCCCAGGTTACCAGCTTGCAGACTATCCGCAGCCGTGAAAGTCGTAAAAGCGCAGCGGAGAACTGTGCGCAGCCTGTACGTGATTCAATTCGCGATATTGACAACGCGCCAACACGCCGTCGGAAGGGCTCTCGAGTCGCAACTACGAGAGAGGATTCAATCTTATTTTTGACACTGTCTCGTAGTAGAGACAAGACGAGACGAGAAAAGAATTTTTTTCCAATTTGATCTGGAACGCCGAGGCGAGGTTGCGCTCATCAGGGGATAACGGCGAGAGTCTTTTTTTCTTTATTTTTGCGGAAATTACACGCCATGTTAAGCGTCCAACAACGCGCAGAGCGTGGGAGTTACGATGCCACTCATTTAATCAGGATCGCATCGGCACTGCCCGCCATCGCCGCAAACGCATTTCACCTATCAAATGCAAAGAGATCCCTCCGCGAATAACGTCCGACGAATCTCCATTATATCCATGTAAATCCGCAGTAGCGCGCAACGCCCTCGAGTTCTCAAACGCAGGTGCAGCTAATAAACGTCGTTCGCGGGTGATAGAAGGCGGCTGAGGTGGTAGGGGCGCACCCCCAAGGGCCGATAATCCCGTCGCCTTCGTGCTGTCGGCTGGCGCCGGCGGTGCCGCTGCGCGGAAAAATTCAATGTTTAATCGCGAGAGCCGCGCCCGCCGTGGGGCTTTACGAGCTTATAAAGAATCGAGCCGTTAAGCACAATAAATTGCCAGCCGTGAGAGAGTGTAAGTGAAGTAAATGTCTTTGCGCACGCTCGCTTAATGGGCTGCGCCGCCTGAGAAACCCTCGCTCTCGCTCCGCGTGATGCTGTTGCTCGAACGACAGCTGCGCTCTTCCACTCATTCTCTAACGCTTTTACTTAGAAGTCAAAGTGAAATATGATGATCGATTATAATTTTTCAATGAATTTTCTAGATTGAAATTCACGTCTGCCTCAATTTCAATGTGTGCTGCACAGTTTGAACACGTTTGTGCGGGTTTCCCGGCAATGTACTCTATAAATTATCAAATAACATGGTTTTTGAAAATGCACGTAAATGATTCATAACGAAGTGCTCATATAAAACTGTATACAGGAATCTTCAAAAAATCTGTAAATAAGCGTCTGCTTTCGTCGCGACGACGTCAACATTTCAGCAGTACGCGGATATTTTCGCGGTTTCCCAGTGTGGTTGCAAAGCGCGTCTCTTTCACTCTCTCTCTCTCTCTCTCTCTCTCTCTCTCTCTCTCTCTCTCTCTCTCTCTCTCTCTCTCTCTCTCTCTCTCTCTCTCTCTCTCTCTCTCTCTATCTATCTTCAGCGTAACTTGGTATAAGTAGAAGAACCGTTCCCGAAGTGCTGTCTGCGTGACTGTATGTACTCCCGCGTTATTACCAGCGTTACGGGATGCGCGCACGAATATTTACGAACGCTCGCTCCACTTGGATACTCGCTGCGGAATAAGCATAGTAGCGCGCCGCGTGCATTGCGCCTGATTATTTATTTAAGCTAGAGTATGTTTTCGCTTGAAAGATGGCGGGCACAGCCGAGCGCTTGTCAATTACGTCCGAAACAGTTAGTGCGCGTTCAACAGGATCGTCTCAACATTCTGGTCGAAATCGTTCGTTTATATTTACATCTGCTTGTACGCCAGAGAGAATTACATTTTACGACGTTGCGCAAAATCAAGAATTTTTCCACCACGACAATAAAACATAAGCGCACTCTTTACAAATATCTGCCGGAACTTGGACGCAAATTTAATTGAGTTTCAAAAGCACCTCTAACAGCGTTATCAAAATTACGCTTTCCTTGCGTTCAATGTGTGTTCAATAGAGTACTGTTTGATAATAGAATGGTTTTGCGCGTTAATTTCAAATTGTTCAGGAAGTCTTTATCGAATTGTAAACTAGTAGCAATGAACGATTGGTTAGTTGTCCTCAGCACACCGTTGCCCTCGGTCAAGTTAATGAAAAGGCAAGAACCACGAGGGTGTGCCGTCGCCTAAAACAATAGAAGGAAAAAAAGAAGAGGAAGAGAGGAAAGAGCACGCGCGATCAAAGTGAGATGATAGCGCGGATTTTTCTCGGCAGAAATACAAAGGATTCATTTCGTCACTGAGCGGCAGCGAGGGAGCGATAGAAAGAGAGAAAACGCGATAAAGCACTTTACAGGCGAAGCGTAAAACGTGACGTGAGAAAGCTCCGCGAAAGCGATATTACGAGTGAAGGGTCGCTCGTCGTCGCCGGCGCCTCGTGATCGTATATAGAAAAGAAGAGAAGAGCGCATCGTTAAAGACTCCCGACTCATCGAAGAACGGAAAATTATTCTGTCCGAACACGCAGACGGATTTCTCATTTCGCCGGATGACAGTCGCGAGCTGTCCGCGTCGTTCCTGCTTTGATGCCTTTATACGATCGCATTTCGCTTGTTTCTCGCGTTTCAACGCACATTCGCAAGCTACCGCGAACGGAGCTGGGGAGCTATGAGCTTAACGTAATCGGCACAGCTTCTGCCTGACGGCAAGCTGATGTATATCACTTACAAATAGAAATTTCAATACAAACTGGAGGCAGACCAATTTGATCAAACACCAGCCGCATTAAGCTCGCCAATAACAACATCGTGGTGCCGGAAGAGCTTGGCAGAAGCATTCGCGTTGTGTTCGCGGATGGAACGCGGTACTTGGACTTCGATTTGCCTGATGGCATAACCGAGCTCGTTCGGCTGCTCGTTCGGTCGCTCGTTCGGCCGCTTGGGCGTCTGCTTGCTCGCGTCAGAGTTGTTTGCCCGAATCTATGAAGGACGTGTACACACTTAGCACGTATCCTCGGGAGTTTGCCTAGTCCAAAGCTTGCTCGCCAGCTGATACGGCAAACGAGTGTCGACTAACCAGCTCGAGGCGAGCGCACTTCAACCCTACTTCATGCTCTGTTTGCTCAGCACGACATCGCAGTTATTTGGCCGGTATGATGGCTGATTTAGAAGATAACTCTAAACACTGTAATATCGGCTTGTAACGACGTGGGACTCGCGAAAACCTTTCTCATTGTGTTTGTCAACTTGAAAATACGTAGAAAGAAAGGGAGGAAGGTACGCTAATATTAAAAAAACTTCGACTAGGTGTCGGAAGTAGAATGAACATTACTAAAAAAAATCAACAGCAGCAGACGATGATAGCCGACAGTAGCGCAGCTTGCACCGGACAGGCTGATCAGAAGCCCGAAGAAGTAGCGGCAGCAGCGGCAGCAGCGGCAGCAGCGGCAGCAGCGGCAGCAGCGGCAGCAGCAGCAGCAGCGGCAGCAGCAGCAACAGCAGCAGCAGCTTACAATTCAATTACACTATTTGCAGTGAAGATAAGCGATGTACCGGAAATCCTGCGTTTCGCGCGATCACAGTGCTGTTTGCCTGTCTGCGGCCTCATATTTGTATGTCCGCGCGCAGTAGAGGCAGTAGTCGGGGCTATACAATCGTGCCGGATCAAACAACAATAATGTTTGCCCTTGATCTCGGTGATTTCGTTCCGGCTTTGGCTCTAGGGAGCCCGATATTACTTCCCCCGGGGCGCGCACTCTCGCAAGCTTGTTGCCCATTGTCTTGCCTATCACCCTTTCCAATTATTTGCTGATGCCGCCGGTACGGGTTACCTATAATTTCCAATTGCCGGTGGATTGATTAGATCGCGCTGCGCTGAAACAGATTAAAAGTAGTCGCCGACTCGATAGCGCAGCTAGTTGAATTAGTTGAATTGATTAGATACTTGCTAAGATTAAACTTTATCAGTGAGGGTCGAGCAAACCGATGTCGATCGATGATGCGATCGGCCATTGTTTGAGCTCATCTTCTTTTTTCAGCTGTTATACACTCGCTCGGGAGATGGATATCGTCACGCGTCGCTGCAGTCCGTCCGGCGCGTTCTTTCGCAAGTTCGCCGATTCGTCACGCGCGATTACGCAGCAGTGAAACTCAGAAGGGAACGTCTATGTGCTGTCCAAGTTTCGACGGACGTAAGGCGACAGCCGCAAGGAGAAACTTGTCAAGCGCAGAAGCCCGCGACTAATGCAATTCCATGTGCATGAACAGCGGAAAGAGGGAGAGAGAGATGTCAGTGTGTGAGCTTGCCAAGATGCCATGTTGGAATGAGTTAATCGAGCTGGATAATCCGTTAATTGACTGCGACCAGTCGACTGCGTTCGTCTAGAGACGCGAATGAGAACAATTAATTCTTCAAGCCATTTCAATTGACGTTCAGCTGAGTTGCAGAGATTAATCGCAAACATCGTCAAAATCATGAGACCAGAATCACTTTATGTCTTTCACATTCACGAGTGTTTCGCTGCTCTCGCGTATAAACGTTGTAAATCATTGGCACGCGAGAGATGCCAACATTATAAACGGCAATTCACATGTATTTTAATGGCGCCGCTCGTCCTCGCGCTGCTTTATGAGCGTATGCTCACCGAGAGAAAATGGAAAACTTTACGAGGCACTGCCGATGATATCATATGAATAATCTCATTGGCGGTGCACACGTCTTGCTTTTTGATGTCACGGCGTTTACTCGGATGTCAACAATCTTTACAGCATTATAAAGTCGCTTATTTATTATTACCGAAATTCAATTGTAACGATCCGTTTCTATCGATCTATTTAAATATTTGCCATTTACTCGTAAAATTGAGAATAAGAGATTACATTTAATATTTCATTTGTTCGGAGCACGCCAAAGAGACGAGTTCTTCCACAAGTCATAGACCAAAGTTTTTACGTAGACCGGTAGTTCGTTCTCTTGTCATTTCGTCGCTGACTTCTCAAGTGGCAAAGGATAAAGAGGATCCGTGAGAAAGCAAAAGTACAACAAAACTGAAAGAAAATCCGAGCTAACGCGCCGCGAGAAGAGATAACACTGACTCTTGCACGCCCTCGGACTTATCGTTTTACACTGAAATAGAAAATCGCAGCGTGCAATCCTTCCTTTCATATCGCGCTAAATGCGTTCCATTACGTCGAATAACCAACGAGAAAACACGAATTTCGCACAAACAAAGACCAAAGGTTTACTTCTTTCAAGTTCGGCCACGCTAAAACTATCGCGCCCGCGTTAAAATGCAAAATGCCGCGAATGAAACAAACGAATATACGGCCAAACGCTGACACACCGGCAGCCGCATATTTATTGGAGCATAAAAATTAGAAGGCAAAGAAAAGCCGGGAAAATAGTTGGAAAAACTTTCAGACTTTCGGCTCCGACCAGTTTGGTTTGCCGCGGCGCACGTGCGCAAAATAATTATTATCGCATAGGAGCTAGGCTACGCTAATTAGATCTGCATTATGGCGTCGGCCGCGAACGCCAAGTGCCAAGCTACTTATTTACTTATGCCGGCCTCGTATTCAATCGTCCTTGGAATCTCAAGATAAGTGCTGTTTCATCGCCGTCGTAATTGCACTTTATTCTTGTTTTCTCTTTTTTTTCACATTTGATATTCATTAGACGAAAGAGCGAATTATTCGACTCTACTGATGTATGCGCCAGAATACGAATGCCAGCAAGCGACGTTCGTAATAAAAATGCAACGGAATGTCGGTATTATTTTTTATTTTTCAGAAATGTATGCACTACGATATCAGATTTTCATATAAAGAATGCCTACGAAGCAAAGGCTGAATTTTATTTAATTGTACTTGAATAGCTCCGACGCGATATCTTTCTCGTAGCCGTATTTCCATCAATTCGCACAATAAATTGTTTATTTGTTCGTTTAGGGCGTGGCAGCGGTGTCATGTTATATAATAAATTTTCATGATAAAACTGCGCGCCTGCCAAGCTGAAAAATCGTGCAAACACATCGCTTGCCGTACAGATATGTGTTTAAGTCGAGATTTCCCGCGACGAAATACCTATATTTTCCTTTCCGCTTATGAAGTGTGGTTCGCTTGAATTTTCATGATATTATTGTACGTCGATGAAAAAACAAATATTTGCAAGAGCAACTCAGGTGTCACGTAGAGTGGTCCGTTGTATTTCGAAGGAAAACGGGGGATAAAAAAAACAGAAAAAGACGATTCAATTAAATTCCATTGTCCACTCGGCATAATGGCGGCCGCGGACGTCGAAAATCAGTATCGAGCGAAATTTGCATGCGAGCTTGAAATTTGAACGCCGAGCATTTTCAACGCATATACACCCCTTTTCTGTTTACAGGCGACTAGTCGAGTGGGGGCCGAGCGTATACACGCCACTCGAAAAACAGCTGAGCTCGTGTCTGCATGTAGTGCCCACTTGCGAGAACTCTGCCACGGCAATTTAATCATGCCGAGAGCGACACTCGTCTGTGTAGATATTGACGATCGCGCGCGGCGTGCCTTCGTTTTTCTTTTCGCCGTTCGCCGCGCTCCTCTTTGAAGTGGCGTGCGCGCGTTGCTACAAATTCACCGTTGCCGAACAAAAGAAATGCCTGGATTTCTCGCTGCTCGCGGGCTCAATCGAAACTTGGCGTGCTTTCGATTATCCAATCGACCGGGATCAACGCTATGATCAACGCTAGCGTTCGAACTAATCAACGATGCTTATTAAACTCTACGTCGTACGCGCAAAATTGAAAACCCAAGGCTGCGTCTCGTTGTAATCAGCCGATAGGCAAATTTCTGAAATTCTATATTACGTGAATTTTCCAATGAATACTTGCAATTAATTCCGAGAAGCTGCATTTGTGCAAATTAGTTGGATTATACTAATGAAATAATTTCTACGGAATAAATTTTACTATCCTGATATACCGTCAAATTACAATCACTTGTTAGCATGCATTGCGGCGGTTTAGCATCAAAATGTTTCAAGTAATGCAGCTCAAAGCACACCGTTATGAATAATTGTGTGCACGCGATATAATCAACGAGAAATAATTATAAGCCCGTTCTATTTCAGCAAAGCAAAAGGGAATTTTAGAGATTAAACGAGTTCAGCAACGCAAAAGTGCGTTCGAACATATTGCGAAAGTTGAAAGTTCCCCTCGTTACTTGTTAAACAGGTGACTTCAATCCCGAGCGTACTCTTGCCGACAAGTTGCTGCTCTCAATTCTCAAGTTCATTAAAGATTTCTCAGGACATTTGATAAACCTCTCTTACAAAAATATCATAACGACTCGCGATACTCATCTCGAAAATGTCGGAGACGAAAGAGTAAGCGCAAAAAAAAAAAAAGAAAAATAAAAATCATTTCTGAAGCACACAATTAAAACGTTGTCCGTCTCGACATTACTCTTATTCGCTCGACGTGTAGACTCGTAACGAGGGAGTCATCAAGCACGGAGCACAAATCTCCTAACGACTAGCATTTCTCGCGATTATATGAACGCATGGGAATACCAGTCTCGCGCGGCAACGGCGACGACGACTAACGAAATCTATGTGCGTGAATATACACGCACAAGAACTTAATAGACTCAGCCGCCAATTCATTATTCATCCCTACGCGCGCTGCTCTCGCGCTTTATTCGCATTCAAGTTTAACGTCGAGCACTTAACAGCCGAGCTCTCCTGGGGTTCTGAGATGCTAGAGGGTTCGTCTTTGTATGCCGCTTGCTCAAGATATATTACTTACGAGCTCGTGCATGAAAGGATTCATAAAATGATTACTGTGATTCTCGTGATTTTTTTTGGCTTGTATGCAGCGACGCTCAACAGAATGAAGAAATAAACGACACGATTGAGATAGTTGAAAAAAATGTTTGTCGTAGTTTATTGACTGTGAAAAATTGAAAATATGAAGTTCTTTTCGCACAGCGGCATCCTAAACAAATAACAGAGTTAAATAATGAGGCTAATAAACACGCTGGCTATAAAACTTGCTAGTTTCTCTTTAACTTGCCGTTATTAGTGCCCCCTAACTCACAGGTACCTCCACGATCGTAAAGTAAATCGACGAAGCTTCGCGAGCACGGCAAAGCCTCGCGTCTTTCTGGTGCTGCTATTTTCCTCCAGATAAATCTAGCGCGAGATACATGTAGTTCGCCTTCCCCGCCGATCGGTCTGTACGTGTTCCGACGAATGAACGTCAGCGGGCACAAGAGAAATTAACAAGAAGCGTGGGCCTCGAACAAACATGATCGACGGAACGAAGAATCCGCTTGATCAGAGAGCTTGATAATTGCCACTCTTTCCGTCTACACCAGACGGTCAACAATCTAAATCAGAGTGTGCTACAGCGGCGGCCAAGAGGGTTGGAGTAGCGTGCAGTGCGTCGATGGCTATACGTATGAAGGAAAAAAGAGAAAATAAAAAAACTAATTTCCCGACGCCGTGTTCGCGCGCTTTAACTGCTTAATAAAACCTCGGGAGCCGCGGGGGCAAATGAACAGCTGCGGCAGCGCTTGGACTCGGCGTCGAATGACCAAGGCACGCCGAGGCCCGGCTTGCATCCTCTAATGAAAATTAAACGAGCTCCCTTTCAGCCACGGCGTAATTTCATATCGCGTGCGCGTGCGAGAAAGAAAGCGGCGCTGGCGGCATGGCGTTTGGGCTAAGCATTCGTTATCTCGGGGGGGCAATAATGGAACTTGTAAAATATTACTTTGCTATTCATTAGAGCACGCACAGCCACTCTCAATCCAAACGGCTATTTGTCTTGCCCGAGCGGCAAAAGGGAAATCCAACGCGAAGCAGGGTGTGAATTCTTTCCGTCCTTGAAATTAAATTTCAAGCGCCACGAGAGAGCGAGTTGCTCGATATTATGCGGCAGCGCAGTTGAATTGGCAGTAGACCGTATCACCGCACTCTATTTCTGCCGTGCACGCGACTGTGTCCGCGCGCGTGTACTTTTTAATAACGCAAACAAGAGGCGAAAAAAATTTTCGCGCCGCTAGCTAATGAATGTAAGCACGGGAGACTGCGCTTTAATTTCAATTTGCCACCTGCGAGACGGTTAATGGAATTTTTAATATCTTCAATTATAACCGAGCAAAAAGTCATAAGAACAGTTCGCCAGAACAAATACACTTTACAATACCCCGGAACGTTCCTTTTCGGAATAGACTGATGAAAAGTCTTATTGGGCACGGCGATGAATTATTCCAAAAGTACATTTCTATTTCGCGTACTGATGCACAGTGAAGCTAGCGTTGCATGCCTGACTATTATCGAGCTGTACTACTTCGATACTGGCATCATGAAGCTGTTATTCCGTAGTTTTATCGATATCTCTCTTATGTTTTATTCATGCTTTCGTGTCTGCGCGCCATTTCCTCGGGTGTTGTCGCATTCTTACTTACGAGAAAGTCGCAGAAATAATCATAACACTAAAAGTTCGTCAAGTCAGGTAAATGCACGATTGAGTACAAATGAACATGCATTATGGTAAGAAGTATGTTAAAGGAGCTTACCAGACGTATCATCGAGGTCGGTATCGAGGTTGTTGAATCCGCAGCGGCTGAGGAAGAGCACGAAGATCAGCGAGAGCGAGCAGACAAGGACGAGGAGCCGCGAAAGCAGCCGAACTCCCAGCAAGCGCAACATTATATCTCTGCGTCGCCTGCAATCAGTCGCCGACACACACACCCACACACACGTAAGTCTCAACGTAGCAGCGGCGGCGGCGGCGGCGGCGGCGGCAGCAGCAGCAGCAGCAGCAGCAGCAACAACGACGCGATTCAATTAACGCGAACCTCCTACGCGACCTATAAACTTGCCTAGCGCATCCAACGCTCGATTACGTGGCTTGAAAGGGAGGATTATATATCTGGCACACGACACATCGCGATTTCAGTTATAGCTCCCCCCTCCCCCGATGGCGCATTACTGTTTGATGGGAATTAACGAGGTAAGTGCGCGGTAATGGATTCATCGACGTGTATGTCTCCGAAATGTACCAATTAGCATATGCGATAGATTTCGAGTGTAATCATCTGACGTACATTTTATATTTTGCCAAAAAATCGTTGGCGCAATGCAATGCATAAACCATCCGTAGCAATACAATTCATCCGCGACTCAGTAAGAGAGGTCAACTTTGATAGCAGCGCTTTAACGTCTAGTCTTTTTCCGCGCATACAGAAGGGGAGCAATCGCTAGAGAAAATGCATTATTTATACCGGCTTTGCTAGTCAGACGCATTCTCTGCCGTGATTCTACTTTGAAGAGCATCTCGCAGTTTACAGAGTGGAACAAATAAAAAGCGAGCGAGATGTAATACTCCGTAAAATCTCCGTTTAATAAACTAGCGAGTAGTCACGTGAGCGCAAGGGGAAAAAAGCGGACGAGCAAAACGATAGCAAAGCCAGATGCAATGGAAGTCGGGAATAAAATTTCTACAATTGTCTTGGCCGCGATAGTCAAGCGAGCTGAAAAAAAGCGAAGACAGAAAGAAAGTAGTCAAATGAGGAAATTAGCTTCAAAGCGAGCTGCGGCCAGTGCAGTCAAAGATACCTCATTACGAATGTAAAATTGAAAACGAGATCCGAAAGACAGAAACTGCTCGAGTAGTCTCTTTCTCTCTGTCTTTCGTTTTCGTTTCACTGTCTCTATCTTCATTATTTTTTGCAGTCCTTTGGAAGAATTACGGGAGCGTCGCACTGGCTTCCTGACGTTAAGGATAATGGAATACCCTACTTTTACTTACATCCGATGCCAGAGAAAAGTAGCCGAAATCCCCCCATTATGCGTTTTTCCTTTCTCGTGAAATATATTCTTATAAGGAGAATCTCACTATTACTCGCTCCACACTATACGAAAAAGAGAAAATTTCTTGATTTACGTGCATTGCGCCTAAGTGGATTTTTCGATAAAAAAAAGAAGCCTTTTTTTTCATCTTCGAAAATTTTCCATAAAGAAAAAGATGGTTCGGAGCTAACTGGCAGCTAAGACGCCAGCCGCAGTGCAGCCTTGGTGTAATATATAGTGGAAGCTCTCCTTTAAAGCCATTCAATTTGCACGCAACTACCTCGTCAGCGCTGCAGACTAAGCTATCGTTAAAACTTGTACAAGATCTTCTCTTAACTCGGTTTCTCCTTCGGCGTAATCCCTTATTAATTATTGGCTAGCTGTCGACGCGTCGTACTGGGTTGACTTCTCTCTATGCTCGGGTTTTTCATGTCAATGCATTATTGTTGCGCCGATCGAGCTTAGCTCTCGCGCGAACGTCGACCGAAGCAGTAGACTAGCGCCTAACGCAACAAGCTTGCGTAAGAATTACCGCGCGCCATTCGTAGTATGTGCAAAAGTGCCTGCTTTATCGAGGCACTCGCGTAGCTTATACATTTGCTCGACGAACGTGTATTTTCATTAAACAGATAGGACAGCCGACATAATCCGTAAAAATTACATGTTGCGATTGTCGAGAAATTGAGAAACCATCGTTTTTTATTACAATTTCATCGTCGAGTTTCGCAAAGCGAGGGAGAGATAAAGAGAGAGAGAAAGAGCGAGAGAAAGAAAGAGAGAAAGAGAGAGAGAAAAAGAGAGAAAAAGAGAGAGCGAGAGAGAGAGAAAGAGAGAGAAAAAGAGAGAGCGAGAGAGAGAGAGAGAGAGAGAGAGAGAGAGAGAGAGAGAGAGAGAGAGAGAGAGAGAAGAATCAATATCCAATCGTGTTTAATTCGGATTTTGAAAAAAAAATATCATACTCGCGTACACACACGCTCGGGAGAGAATTTATCTCGATCGTGCAATCGCGAAATGGAGAGGCAGAGAGAAAATGGGAGATCCATGGGTTGCGGCGTGTATGATTGCGCTGATGAAAACCATAGGGAAATCCCTCTGATATAGCATTTCTCTCTCTCTCTCTCTCTCGCTCTGCCACCCGTTCTACCTCAAAATTGATAACGCTTGGCATTGATAAGAATTGCGGTGGCGTTGCAGTACGGTCCTTTTGTTCCAACGGGGATTATCGATTTAACTGCGTTTTTACATAACGTAACGACATTTCAAAAGCCTTCTTTTAAAGAAGTGAATATTATCCGATTTATCTTTAGTACTCTGCCTAGCTGGTCTACTTTCATCTATAGTTCATACGTGTCTATTCTTATTATTTATCGATATCTGATACGGTAGTTAATCCTATTTCCGATAAAGCTTGCCCACCTAAATCTCAATCGCAAAGAAAAAAATTCCTTTCTGTAGCTATTATTTATCTACAAGTAACTTTATTCATATTCAACTATTTTTCATAATGCGTTAAAAGCCAAACGTTAAGATTCATAGTCCCGCAAACATTTTTCCGACCAAGGCAACAGAAAGAAAAGAACAGCCCATTAACCCAAGTAAACGTCTCGGCTTAACTTCGCTATAACATGCAGATTCGCCAGAGAGATAAAGTTAACTTGTCGCCGGACGCACAAGGGCAAAGTTACTGCGGTAAAAAAGTTCTTGGCGAGCATAATAAAGCCAAGCGCTTGAATTGATTCGAGACACTGGACGACTCCACCCTCCGTAGTATTCCTAAATGATACGTGAAAAAATATTAAATTTTTTTTTCTCCTCGACATCGCGTATAATTTTGTCAAGTTTTTTCAATTTCCTGTCAATCTTCCTTCAAAAAGTTGCCGCGCACTCCCCTTCCCCTCAGCAGAAACTTTGATCACGGCTGTTACCCGTGTCGCAGCAGGATTCGTTGGCCAATTTTTTTCCTCTCATAGCTATCTACGCGAGGCGGGGGCATGTGTCCGAGACATGTCGCTCGCTCTTCATTAGGAACGAACCGCCGTCATCTTCTCAACGTCTGGCTCGTAAATTCTGTTCTTTCCGCGGCGATTGCAATTAAGTATACCCTTCGAATTTCATCGTTTATATTTCACGCCTGCGCACGAGAAAAAGAATAGAAGATAAAGAAGAAAGGAAAAGGTAGCCGTTATTCATCCTCCACGATAATACGTCAAGTTGTCAGTGTGTTATCCCGTCTCCTCTATTTTTCTTCTCGTTTCGCTTGTTCTTTGCGCTCAGAGACATTTACAGCTCGACAATTCGATTGTCACGTCGTCGGGTCCGTCCTTTTGAGTATACGAGAAAGGAGAGTGGCAAAAACGAGAAGAACAAAGGCTTCCGGAGGGGATTCATAAGAAACTATTGTAGCTGCTGTTACTGCTGCTGATGAACTTTTCACGAGAAGTAGGTTCGCGCCATCATTCATTTAATGAGACAAACGGACAAGTCGAGTAGCTAATTTCATTCAAAATAACTCGATTTGTGAGAAACGGAGCAAATGCTCTGCTCACGGCGCTGCATTGTAGTGGTCGCTAGTTTGAACAATTGTATAACTAGAGTTTCAAGACACGCTCATCACGACGGAATAACCGACGCCGACGTAGAATAAAAAACAGTCGTATCGTCGGAAATGCTGAACAATGGATGATAAAAGTTACTATTTTATTATTATCACGAATATATATTGAAATGAGAGTTTAATAAACACTAGTTTAATAAATGACTACAAAATAAAAGTTGATACTGAGTTAGCTTGAAAAGTGAACTTTCAACAACACTAATTACACTGACCAAAATAAAGGCGGAGAGAGGAAGAGAGAGAGAGCTGAACAAGCCAATAACTCACTGGAAACTCATAGCTAAAAGTTAGTCGCATCATTACTACGCGTGTACGTGAAACATGGAGAGAGAGAGAAAGTAGGTGGCGCGGCGAAAAGGTGTTAGGCGTGAAGTATCGAGGTACTATTTCAAGTGCTTGACTCCCCTGTACGCTTATAAAATACAAGTGTCGCCCGCGATTTCGTGGCTGCGAGTCTCAGGATGCTTTTTCATTTTTCGTGTTACGCAGCATGGATTTTCTCTGCATTTGCTTCATACTACTTATTCGCTATTTCATCTCCGGATTGCCTAGACCTTGTCGTATTCACAAGATCGATTTCGTATACAAAGGCATATATGAGTTGCTCTTGTAAGTGAGAACGTGAAAATCTATTAGAATGTCTCGGCAAACTTTCAAAATTGACAAAGTTTTATCACAATATCAGACTGCAGTGTCCCTCAAAGTTTTCTGTTGTTAAGTTGTTTCGTGCCGGAAGACTCTGTGACATATTCTACATCTCCTACAATATCCGATTATCAATGCAGTTTCTTACGTAAAAAAGCCGACTTTTGGTTTATCCTGAAAGAAAATGCATTTTTGAGAAACGAATTGGCCTCGTATGCAAAATAGCAGTCTCTTTGATAAAGAAATATCGAATGTCTTTTTGAGAGTGAATGTACGACTGAGAAATCAGTGCACGACTCTACCTTATCATCGCGTCAGCTCCTCAACTTACAGGCCCTTTGGTGGCAAACTTTCTTGATAGGGTGGCTCGAGATTCGGGGCAAATGAGCTGCTCGACGTGTCACAAAAGCGGAAGCATACACTCGAAGGGGGAGAGAGAGAGAGAGAGAGAGAGAGAGAGAGAGAGAGAGAGAGAGAGAGAGAGAGAGAGAGAGAGAGAGAGAGAACGAAAGCCTGCGCGAAGTCACTTCACGTAAGTTAGAGTAGAGAAAGGGGGTCAAGAGGTTTCAGTCAGGTGTGGAAGTAATTAAGCTACTGGCTGTTCTCATGACTCAGCCCATCCAATGATTTATTCAACTCGGCGCTTTGCTCTCAATTAACTTCCTTTTTTATGAATAAAGATGAAGAATGCAAAGAGGACGGCAATTCGTGATTGATCAACCTGTGACGGCCAACGAATTAATGAAAATATCAGCTGAGGCGAAAAATCACGCTCAGGGGGAGATGGATAGAGAGCGAGGGGGGGGGGGGGAGGGAGAGAAATTCAACGCAACCGCATAATACGGCCACACGTAATTAAAATTTCACTGTTCATAAATCCCGTGCGTGCGCGGACGCTTCATTCACGTGCGCGCGGAAACTCATTTGGCCTGCATAAAAAGTCCATCAGTGGTCAATTATCGGACGCCGCAACTGGACCTCGTATTCCCTGCGGCTACTCCGTGAAAACTTCTCCTGTTTTTTTTTTCTTTTTTTCGCGCTCGATTTTTTCGCTGCCGGCAGTCATACGCCAAGCCGCAAACAACTTTTCATTAGAATAATCATTACGAGCGTTGAAAAAGTGAAAAAGCCGATCCACTACGTCTGTCGTCGCAATGAACGTGATTTAATCGGACAATTAAGTACAAATCTTATTCGAGCACAGAACATTTTTTTACGCGACTTCGTGTTCTTTTTTCATTTTGTCGATTCCCGTAGCTTGTTATCCGGGCACGTCAATTTGAACGCGACCAAACGTGTCCTTAATTAATTATCGGCTTGATTTCAATACATGCCATTCGCAAGAGCAGCTCCGTCAATAACGGTTGAAAGTTCGAAGCATAGTCGAAAATTCTTTGCGTTCGAGATCGAGCGGGTGCACACATTAGTCGCAGCATCCACACACGTGTGTACACTACGCTCCGAAATTTCCCCGGAGTCCGGTCGAATCACTAATGAAGGTAAACGTGCGCGCGCACTAGCACTCGAGTCAGTTGATCTCTGCTATATCAATTCATCTCATCTAGGCGCATATATAAACGTTGATTTTTTCCCTCCATTTCAAGTGTACGACTGATTGCACTTTATTGTCCTTTTCTTTTTTTTATCATTTGTTTTGACTCTTTGTTTGCATTTAGCCTTCTGTTTGCGATTTTTATTGAGAAAGTCTATAGAGAAAATTTGATTTAATGGACTGTACCGTAGCGAAACAATGGTGAAAAAGAATTTTCGGCTCTGCTGGAAGAATCAGCTGGACAAACTCGGGTAGTAGATTTTAATTTGAAATGGAATTGTTGGTAGCAAATATATTTTTCCGCAAATCCATTAGTCAGTCGATGAAATTTTCCATCTAAGATTCATTAAAAAATAAAAGCACCTCTGTAAAAGAAATACTAAAACGAACGAACAACAGTTTTATACACGATCATTGGAAAATATCCAGTGGTTTGCGAGCCACCGTTCAAAACTACAGTCAGCTCTAAAACAAAGCAGAAACAACAAGCCGCACCCTAAATCATTCTCTCCAATTACCGTCGTAAATCATCAAGCAAGAAAATACACCGCAGAGCAGCTCAAAAATACGCAAACTAGAGTAGTCTTCTTTTCGTTCCCTCTCTCACTCGGAAACAACGCTAGGCGTAAAGCCCATAAATCGCAGACGTTCACGCTTGTACGTACATAACCGCGTGGCGCCTACATATATTTATGCCAGAGCGAACGTGCCGCCAGCGACGACGATGACGACTATTAAAAAGCCTCCGAGTGCAGTTGCCGTGTTACCTTCTAGAGGCGTGCTGCGGTTACCGAGTATTTGTAAATGTGGCGTATACTGTGCAATCTTACCGGAATAAATTATCTTCTAGAAAATTATACATATATATATTACTAATTTTTCGCAGCAGAATTATTTTCCAAGTTTAAACCGACTCCGATACCAGTGAGTAATATTCCGACGTTGCATAGATATCAGCTAGGTAACATATTTGTTCGCATACAAATAATTAATTGACAGTCCATCTGATATACCTGTCACATATTTACCGATACTATGTGGCGAATATTGAATGAAGTATGTGTACGCGATAGCAAACATTTCGGGGAAATTACGATATATCTAGCTACTCCCAACTGCTTCAGCGTTGTCGAAGTTTCTTATCGGAAAATAATTAAAAAGCGGCGGCGAATGCGGTTTTATCACTATTGAATTTGTTCGCTTACGTGGAAGACAATTGAGTTGTGGAGGTTGTTGTCATGAGGTTACGAGCGACCTGCAATCAAAAAAACAATCTAGTTAATGGTATGCACTTCATTAAAGTACGCGAGCATTGTAAGTTTGAATAGTGTCGTAAAAACAAAAGAAACAAGCTCGAGTCGTCAATATGATTTTGGAGGACATTGTCAAAAGAGACCAAGACGCAGTAGTACAGGTATAAGTAGAGAAAGCCGATTATGTGGGGGCAGCGGTCGTGAACCGCAAAGTTTGTGGGGCCAGCTAAAACATTTGCTCGTCTAGCTTTATTGAGCGTCCATCAAAGGTTCTAGAGCACGCCAACCGTAGCAACAACTCACACCTGCAAAACCGTACGAGAGCGGCTCTGCCTCTCATAACTCCTTCGTCTGGGCGAAGTTTTATCGTCGTGCCTCGCATATTCGTCGCAATTCTCCCTGATATACGGCAACCTCCTCTCACCTATGGCTTCGAGGCTAAAACTAATCTTGATTCTCCCCGGTTGCCTTCCACCCCGATCGCCTCCCCCCCCCTCCCGCTGCTACTCTACACCAACGACGCGCCAGAAGCTAACTGCCGTAATTAAGTCTTTAGAGGCGCAAATGAATTACGTTACGTCCTCGTCACGTTCGCGACCGCCGCGCCGCTTTCGCTGCTGCTGTGTGGTCACGGGTTTCAGTGACGTTTATGTGCTGCATCTTTGCTTTTGGCTCTACATCAAGCGGAATTCATTTCATCAAAAGGTTACATCCTTCCCATCTCTCTCTTTCTCCCTCTGTTTTTATTGTATTTTTTTATGAACCCATGCACCTCGAAAGTAAATTAGGCTTTTTTTGACATTTTTTTTTCCTACCATGTATAAAAATGTACAGCTTTATAGAGCGACATTTTTATTAGACACTCGTGAAAGTTATACACGACACGTTGGCATAGTTTTTCGTTAATAATGTTGCTGACGGCGCCTCAAAAGTGCGCGCATTATGAAAGCTGACCTTTGAGAAGCCGCTCGTAAAATCAATCGTCGAGCCTAATTAATGTACGTGCTTGCGCGGCGAGGCGAGCGGAGAACCGAGGCTTATCTGTGTCGGGTGGACGCGCCTGCAAAATTGAAAAAGATCACGATAGCACGAGCGGAAGACAAGTTATCGAGAAGGCGAACGACCCATTAAATAAATGATCCAGGCCTCCCCCTCCCCCGGAGACTTATGAGACCCGCGCCAAACTTTGCACTCGTTTCGCGTAGGGACAACTTTCAGAGTTATTCTCAAGCGCGCGCCTTCGAGTGTATAGCGACAGGCGGCAGAGCGCTGAATATTCATCGAGAGCCGTCTCCAGGGAGACAGAGGCACGGAGACAGAGAAGGATTCGGTGACGGCATCAGACAATCGTCGAGCTAAGCAAGAATCAGCGGTCTCTATAAGCTGCCACGCTACTTTTTTTGTCTTTTCTTTCTTGTCGATATTGAGATCCCGCTCTCGCGATTACTTTGAAGGGGAATCGCTGTACTTTCTTTCCTCTTTTATTGATCCAACGTCGCGCGCTCGATTTGGCAATTTATTCGAAACTAGATTTTTCCGTAACTGGCGAAATGTAATACGAAGCCACGAGTTCCCAAAATGTTCGTCGAAGAAAAGGCCGATCAGTATCTTTAATTACGTACGGTTAATTAAAACGTCACAGACAGGCTTCTGAGCAGTGATTAAGCTCCGAATTTCTCCACAAGTCTTTTTTTAACAATGGAACGAACAAACGAGGGAACTTTCTGAAATTTCCAAATTAATGAATAGGGACAGACACAATGGTACTACCTCTCGTTACCACATAATATATTTAATGAGATTTTATCGCTTCTACACTTCTGCATGACTAATTCAAAGAGTGTCGCTGCGAGATGAAAATTGATGTTGATAATGCAGTACCGGCATTTGTTACTCGAAAATGCAACTCAACGTGAGCCGCAAAATTATTGTCTCAAACTCAGACTTGCACTATGCCGCGTGTACCCACGCAAAACAAATGAAGTCAAGCTAGATTAAATGCAAATGCGTACTCAAAGTTGAGCTGGTGTGTGCGACTCACCGATCAAAATTCGACATGTACGCCTACGCTAAGATACAACGTCGCAACGCAAAAGTGCCTCAGGCTCGGATAGGTCACGTACTTTCGTGCATTCGATTACCATTGGACTCGCTACGTCATGTCGAAAAGCCCAGCGACGAAGTGCGGACTTTCTAGACATTTGGCAGGAATTTGCGGTTTGGAAATGTTCGTATTGATGCTCCGTATCTCGAATATCACACAACTGTAGAATTTTTGGGTTATAGACACGCATGAATGAAGCAAGACAATATCGAGACTTTTGAATTTTTACTTGACTGTTAGAGTGTTATTATGAAACAATTTAGCAATATTTATATAATATTGTTAAGAATTTATCGTTTTTTTAAATATACATTTTAAACTATCAATCCAATATCCAAAGTGAAAGCATTCCACAGTTTTGGAGTTATTTTAAGCATCTGCACTGATTTGGAAGACGAGAAATTTAAATAAAAATTAACGTTATATTTGAATAAATTAAGTTATGATTTGCACAAATCAATGTAAAATTTTCCTAACTTATTCACACGTATAAGACATACAATAGAGATTTGCTACATCCAATATTATTTACACGAAGTTTTGAAGTTTCGAGATTTTTACACACGAAAAAAGTGGCAACAAAAAAGCAATACATGCTGCTCTATACGTGGCGTAAGAATTAAATCATACAATATTTAATTTAATTTAATTTAATTCTCATATTTTTACGAGCTTCATAATAGCAAAAGTAAAAAATTAATATTAAGAAGCACAAAATCAAGTACAAAATAATATTCTGAGAAATCATACTGTTATTGGCAAGTTACCGCATGTTCATGCCAATTTTCATACACATTGTAAAACACTTGTAGCTATTGAATGACTTTATCAGCTTAAATAAATACCATAAACATAATTTAACATGCTGACATTTCTAAAAAAAATATGTTCAAAAAGTAACTTCGAGAAAATACACGTGTATGATTATCTAACAATGCTCTTTGACATTATAATGAAATTATAAAATTAATGTAATTTTATCGTATTTACGATATAACTACACTTTTTTTGTTTTACAGTCTCTATCCAAGCTGATGTCAATATATCGTAGTACGAAAAAACCAAGTTTCTGTAAAAAAGACATTCGAGATCCCAACATACTATACGTCAAGTTAGGACGGAAGAAAAGATAAGAGCAGTAGGCAACAGCGTTCAGGATCGAATTAGACATCGGGACTGTCTCTTGTATATCGTAGTACCATGTCCTCTTGGGAATAACGACGGCGTGTCGACTACGAGTACACGTATTCTACGAAGCAAAGATGAAATATGAAAAGGAGATTCGCGCGTTTTATGGCTGCTGCAGCTGCCTTCGGGAGACGCGTCTATATCCTTTTGTTCGACCTGACGCTTTGATAAATGAAGGCAGCTGCGAAGTCCAATCATCGCCTAAGACCACACAGATAACCCGCTCTGAACTTATGTCTTAGTACTTTTCTCTGCTTTCCAAGACGATTTTCTGATATTTTGATTTGCACGCTAAGGTATTATGTACATATTTCAGAAGTTCTCATTGATATGAAAAAATTAAGCAAAGTAATAATTTATGATTTTTTTTTATGAATTCCAGTCGCGTTACTCAGCTTTTATTCTGACCTTGCAACGATAATTCAATAAATGACATTACATAAAAGAAATCAAATACCAAATATATATACACTTGAGTACACAGTGAGAACAGATAATATGTACTTTCGAAAAACGTACGGAGCGTAAGAATAAAGCGGTACAACTCAGAGTTGGCATTAGAAAAACATGAGATTCTGTACCATATTCTGTAACTCACGATCTTTCGTATGCCGCAGTGCGGATAGCTTTTTAAAAAAATTTCTTTTTATCTTTCATGCAAACTAACGCAGAAAGCTACAAACGTGAAGTACGACTAAGAGAATTTTATATCATCGTGATCTCCAACATTTTTCGTCGAGTCATGAAAAATGGCCTCGCGAAACATCAAACATTTGTGAAAACAAAAGAATTATGAAGTCCAAATAAAATATTATTTATCTGGCAATATTCCCCTCGCTTCTATGATAATATCAAATGAACTTTTTACAAAATATGTTTTGGAATGTATCATGCTTTCCCGTGGGAAATACGTCACGCTCGTTTCTTATACGACTCCTCAAGACTCGTTTCTACATACAAAATCGACGTGATCTGCATGTGTTACCGTGCAAAAATGGAGTTTTCCTGCGCAGTAATATTTCATTTCAAATTTCTGAAAATGTTGTATTTCTCATATAAATATTATCACAACAATTTTGAATTAATACACGATCAGCTTTCGTTGATTGTTAGTACCTCGCCGTAGATTGTTAAATGGACAAATCAACACATCTATCATTAAAAATTCCGGAACTTCGACGATTGCTGAGGATACGGCAAAGCCAGTCTCTCAAAAGGAAAGTGCACTTACAGCAGGTGCAAAGGCTCAAAGTACTGATCGTCGAACGTATAGCGCAGTGCACAAAAGCGGCAAAGAATGCTTGCTGGATGGGATCCAAGGGCAGCTCGACCCGCAGCGTTTCACGTTACTCGTGCTGCTATCAGCTAGCTTTGGAATTGATTCTGCTTGATCTGAGCTGCTCGCAAAATCGAGGCGCCGCCTCGATTTTGCGAGCATCAATCCGAGTGATTTCACACATTTTATTTCGGGTACAGACGAGGATTTCTCGTTCGCATTTTTCACTTCTCTAAGCTGTATCATATAGAGGCTTAAATAAATGAAATTTCCGATAAATTGTCAAATATAAAAGTCAAATAAACTGTAAATTTTTGTATTTTTGTTGCTAAAATACCATTCAGTTTTCTCTCGAGACCTAGTTATTCCTTGTAGATACATCAGTGCATGGTAAGACTCTTTTCGCTGGCTTACAGGCTGGCGGTGATTTATCT